GTTCTCGAGTTCCTCGCCCCATACGTGTGTGGCGCATACGCTTGAAGGTCCCCAGCTAACCGATTTCGGCGAAACCCATATTGCCGGTCAGTAAGGAGGTCATTCTGTTCTAAGTATGCCATTAAGCGGGCATTCAATATACGCTCCATAATCTTGCAGAGTATGGAGGTAATTGAGATTGGCCGATAATTGGAAGGGTCGGCGCGGCTGCCTTTTTTGGAACAGGCTGCACGTTGGCCAGCTTCCAGGATTTTGGCACTATTCCAGTACTAAATGAGAGGCGGAACAAGCGTGTCAACACAGGAGACAACTCAGGTGCACAAGCCTTTAGGACTATAGCTGGTATACCATCTGGTCCACTAGCTTTATTCACGTCTAGACACCGCAAGGTTTTTCACCGCAAATAAATTAACACTACTTAGTAAAGACGATGAGTGTCCGTGGGCAGCAGTTTGTTTACCGCTAAAATTTTTAAAAAAAAAATCTTATTTATTTTTTCAGTACGACCTCATGCTGATGACATTTTTGAAGACCTTTCTCACTTTTAGCCTTCAGCCTGTAACAGACTACTGTTGGACAGTCTTTTTTTATAGTAGGAGAAATCTTATGTTTGCAAGTACCTATTACGTGGCAAACGTCAAAATATATTATAAGGATTTTTGTGCCCAATCCAGCAGTCCAATTGCCTCGTATCACTGTATTGAATAAAGTGACAAACGGGCACACGGTCCACTTGATGGAGAGTGGATGCTGTGGCTTATAAACCACCTTCATGTATCATCGATTAAAAATCAAAGCTCAGTTTAAAACATTTCTGCTTAACCGTCAGTGTATACACAAAAACAAAACATAGTGTAAAGTATAACATATCTAACAAGGCTTGTTAGAAACCCTGATATTGGGCATCATTAGTGAACGTCATACATACATACATATTCTCACTAATTCAATTACCCCGTATCTCAAACTGTTAGATACGGGCAAGTAATGAAGCAGTCTCTTAATTCACAATTTAATTACTTCATTCCCTATTAACCGGTTAGTTGTTAGATTAAGCCGCGATAGCAATATATCTTCGTGAAACTCGACTATGAATAATGCTCGAGTAACTAGTGTTACCATATGGAAAATTAAAAAGTCCTGACTAATAACCTGACTTTCATAGAAGTCTTGACATTTTGTTGCAAACGTAATTAACAAGCGTGAAAAAAAAATTATTGGTTTTGTACACTCGATCAATCAACGTAGCGGATTCCACCACGCAAAAAAAAAACCTTCCTTTTCCAAAATCTGACCGCAAACCGTGACAAGAGCCCAAAAGTCTTTACATGATGTCAGGGCAAATAAAGTATTATGATTGTAGCACGAATGGGTCGACTCGACCGAGAAAGGACCACGCTCTCACAGAATACCAGCGTGAAATAGCAGCTCAATGCTGCTGTCGAAACAGTATGGTAAGTGTAGAGAACCGCAGACCCTTTTTATTGGAAACGAGGCATTCCACCTTAGTCCTTAAAGGTGACAACGCGTGTGCATTTTGTTTCTTAATCGAGGATTGATGTAGGTAGACATCTACGGGTCACAGATTCTACTTAAGATCAGGTGGACTGCGTGCTCGTTTGTCACTCTTATTCTTTAAAAAAAAACTCTGACGTATGGTATCTCTACGTGTAACCGCAGAGGCACCGAGCCGCCTCGTCTTCCGCCACATGTCGATATCTCGTGTCGTTAAAAGCACATTAACTGAAGATCGGACGTGTCGCGACGCCGAGTATGCACAGAATAAAAAACTGCCAGAAATTGATTAATTTATTTAAATTTTTATGCACAAAATAAAAAAGAAAGAAATCAACTACAACAAGACAAGAACAATCGGTTGTTTCTTATGCTACTTTCGCCAAACTGCAAGGCAGTTTTTTGGCAAATATATCACCCACTTACATTTTATGTATTTACTGTAATTAATATACTAATCTTGGATTTAATTTAAAAAAAAAATTAAACTTCATATACTTAGTAGTGTTATTTACATACTTAATTATATTTAAACTTATTAATTTACACATAGAAATATTAATTAAAACCAACATTTTTAATTAAGATAATATTAACTATAATTACATGTATTCTTATGCCAATATATTACCATTAAAAATACATGTACTCGTACCTACCCAAATTTTATACAACTATAACAAGTTTTATATCTTTCGTTCTTTTTTTAGAAAACGTTACCCCCACACTAGGATTTTCTCCTGTGTCGTGGAGGCAGTTTACAAACATAAATTGCACAAGGACAAACATCCAGACCCGGAACAATTATTTGTAGGCCATACAAATACTTGTTCCGTGCGGGATTCGAACCCGCGGCCCCCAGCGCAACAACTGATTACTAAGCCACTGCGCCACGGAGCCGTCAATATATACCCTTTCTTCGAAAACATTAATGTGAAATTGTTCTTAATTTAAATAAACCACATATTGTCTGCATACAAAAATAAGCTTTTCAATATATAATAAATAAATATACAAATGTATATGTTATTGATCATTTAATGATCAATGACTTATTTGAGTCTCTCAGAGTCTTTTACTTGCTAAGCACTATTTGTCAGCCACCCGTACCTTCTTTCATGTGGCAATCAGCTAATCGCATCTCTGTTTACCGGCCGCTTGCTCTGCCCAAAATAAATAGTACTATTTAACTTAAACTAAACTAATTCCATCCACCGTTCGACGAACCTCCGCAGGAACATTCCGGACGCTTTCTTATACCCTGTTTTTAATCGTTTACCGCATGGAGCAATTTGTTCAGTACATTTAGAAGAAATTGTTTTACTGTTCTGATAAATTATAGGTAATCTATGAAAGATTACCTATAATTTGAGATAATATTAATGATCTTTATTTGCAAGAACACGGTTGTACAATGGTGTTCAAGTCTAAGCTACATAGAGAGGGTATTATAATTTTTTTACCCTTGGTCTTCTTAATAGTTCCATTAAAACTTAATCCCCTATTTTTCCAATTTTTTCCAAATTTATGTTGGAAAACCGCTGAAGCATAACCTCTTTGATAAAAAAGAATCATCAAATCGGTTCAAAATTATCGAAGATATAGCGTAACATACATAGAAAATATAATTGTACACTGTGTTCACAGTTAATTTGTTAACTATCTTTTTTGAAGTAGGCTAAAAAGATCCTACACACAAAAAGCTACTTTCGCAATATTATTTATTTATTTGAATTTTGTAGTATTTATAATATAAAAGTTGTAAAGTTGCAGCCTATTTACATCCCACTTCTGGGCACAGGCCTCCTCTCATTTCTGAGAGGGTTTTAGGGCAAGGAAATGTTCGCCGCGCTACCCCAATGCGTGTTGGCGAACGTCACATGTCTTCGAAATATATTTCTTTTCTTATTTCTCAGACATGCATGTTTCCTCACGATGTTTTCCTTCACCGCCGAGCACGTGGTAAATCAGCACTTAAAATTGCAATTAACAATTTCATTGGTGCCGGCAGGGATCGAACCCGGGTTGCTCGAGTACTGTGAAGCTTACAGCGAGCGCTAACCATCTGAGCTACCCACGGCTTTATATTTATATGAAGTAACTTAATGTAACGATTTCTTATATATTTACGTGAATACATTGAAACAAATTTTTCGGATTTTATAGAGTTAAATTTTAACTTTTTATAAAAAGTTAAATGCGATATAATACGTAAAATTAGTTTCATTTAAAGTAACTTAAGGATTATTTTGCTATATAAGTATATCTTATTTCTGACCCGGGTGTTAGATTCTTTTCTCTTGATTAAGTTTGAACCACCGACCTAACAGAAATGTGCATTTCCCTTTGCCGTTTTTATAACACTTCAAAAGCGATTACTTTATCGAATTGAGCTTCCGTAAAGTGTACTCTGACTGCCGTTGCTTCTGGTTGAAAAAAGACATGCCGTTCTCGCTCTTATTGCAACGCACTTAGACATAATCGCTTATCACGGTAACAAGTACGTACGACGTTATCAATTGATAAGCTATCGGAACAAAAGATTGGGAGTCGTAACACGTATAAAGGATTACGCCGATGGGAAGCGTTATGTTTTATGAACTATTTTGTTTGTGATTTTTATGATATTGATACACGATAGATTCTATGAGGTTCACGAGATTTATATGTACATATGTATATATACTATGTTTGTATGTATGACTTCAATATATAATTGGAATGTTATTCGGATTATTATGTATTTATTTGTATTCAACCGTGTAGTGGCGGTGCAACAATATCCACTACCCCGTATCATCCCGTGGGTGTCCTAACAGGCGACAAAGGGAAACAAATAAGATGGGCAGCAGCGTCTTCCTAATAACCACTTAAAATAAAAGACTGCTTATGCCAAGCGTGACAACTATGGCAAATATCCCCCCTATGAGGCAATCTATGAGGACGCCTATGTTCAGCAGTGAACTTTAATAGACTGTAACGGACGTGAAACTATTGTAATGGTTAATTTTTTAAAAAAATTATAGGGTAGGGTGACAAACGAGCACACAGTCCACCTGATGGTAAGTGGTTGCTGTGGCCCATAGACATCTCTTCGTTTGCGAATCAAAGTGCAGATGCGTTGTCACCCGTGAGGACTAAGATGAAATGCTTCTTTTCCAGTAAAAAGGGTCTCCGATTCTCTATACTCGCCATACGAAACACAGCAGTTTTAAGCTGCTATTTTACACTGGTATTTTGTGAGAGCGTGGTACTTCCCCGGTCGAGCAGACCCGTTCGTGCTACAAGCTACAACTATACAATTAATATAGCTGCAGCATGATTTGACAATTGATTGTAAACAACTGCAAGTTTTTCTAAAAACAATAAAATAATATAACACGTAAGTCTAGAAAATGTTTTTTCTCTATCTCCCTGAAATTCAGATGCATGGTATAAAACTCTGTCTCCTTTATTTGCAGATGCGGTTAGCTTAGTGCGAGACGATGTGGCGAGTTGCGGTCGCCCTGGTGGCGGTGGCGGGCTGCACCGCACTGCAGCAGCCCCGCTGCGAGGAGATCACCATCCCCATGTGCCGCGGCATCGGCTACAACCTCACCTCCTTCCCCAACGCACTCGACCACGACACGCAGGATGAGGCCGGCCTAGAAGTGAGTACTTGCATCACACTCATGTATATCTTTAATAATAATAATAATAACTCCATATGACGAGAACCTCGTAAAAGCCGAAACAGATAAGCGAACAAAATATCTGGACCTGGCTCACGAGGTGACCGACATATGGGGTGAACTGCCGACCGAAATTATACTTGTAGTCGTTTTTGCGAACGGGTTTATAACCAGTCAGCCTCTCGGGTCATCTGAGCCAACTGGGACTACGCGATGGACCGCTTCAAGCTCAAATGCAGAAGGCGGTGCTCCTCGATACCGCTCGCATCGTCTGTCGGTTCCTTTCCCTATCCCCTAACCCTCGGCCGTTTGGTCTCCCCTGCCGAGGGCTTCCATCTGGTTAGGTTTTTATTTATTTATGAATTTTTTACGTATTTATTTTATCTTATTGATATTTCTGTATGTTTATCATTTTCATTTACAACTACATATATATTTATACAGCCCAACCAGATGAGAAAACTTTATAGATAGCCCATCATAATAATAATACAAGCAGATAAAAATATAGACAGACAAGCGATCAAAATATCTGGACCTGGCTCACGAGGTGACCTACATGTGGGGTGGTCTGCTGACCGAAATCGGGCTAATCCCAGTCGTCCTCTCGAGTTATCTGAGGCGACTGAGACTCCGTGGTGGACCGCTCCGGGCTCAAATGCAGAAGGCGATTCTCCTAGATACCGCCCGCATCGTCCACCGGTTTCTCTCCCTTTCCCCTTAACTCTCGGTCTCCCCTGCCGAGAGCTTCCATCTGGTTGGGTTTTTATTTATTATATATCATTTATTTTACTATATTTACTGTATATTTATCATTTTCTATTATTAAGCCCAACCAGATGAGAATGCTGTATAAATTATACATCAATAATAATAAAACTTTTTATTTGCCTCAATTCACACATGGTTGTTAAAAATGTGCCAAAAATATCATCACAAATTTAATTTAGAAACACACTTAAGTAACATAAAAGTAATGAGACAAACTTGCTTTTGACTCAGCTATGTGGTGATGTGAGGTCACCGCTGATATTCTGCCACAGCCGATTTTATAAAGACTAATCATAATCAACCTAATTTTGGCATTAAATTTGTCTTTTTCTTGTTTTTTGTCTTTACGGAAATAAGAACGACAAACGGGTTTACACTTCCCTTGATGGTATGTGGATCCTTAGGCTCATAGACAGAATAAAATACAATAGAAACTTTTTTGTTCGATATAGATTATAAATAATTTTTACTGAAAGTCATTCTTATGATTAATTTACCACTGGCTCGGAAAATACCTCTGTCCTGGGAAGAAGTAACAGGAAACCCAAGGGGACATGTTTTTTTTTTTGAAAAAAGAACATTTTACAATCTTATTAGCGATCACCTCATTTCCAGGGGTTATTATCATCTATAATTTCTTTAATTATAATAACCCTTTTTATACAATCTGTGTTTAATAAAGTTTTTGAACTTGGCGGAGGACAAATTTTGTATATTTTGTTTTAAAAGCGCATACATCGTCCCAAGAATGAATGACTGACTCTGTGCTCTGTTCCTAGTATTATATCCAGAGTGAATATCACTTATTACTTACGCTGATCCTCAAAATGCAAATGCTTTGTCATCCCTGAGGTCTAAGAAATGCCTCTTAACCAGTAAAAGAGTATCCGGTTATCATCACTCACTATACAAATGATATAATGCTGTGTTTACGCTGTTACTTTTTTTTAATTTTTATAGTATAGGGGTTACAGACGAGCACACAGTCCACCTGATGGTTAATGTATGCTGTGGCCATCAGACATCTACATCTATCCTTGATTAAGAATCAAAATGCAGATGCGTTGCCACCCCTGAGGACTAAGATGAAATGCCTCGTTTATGCTGAAACTCTGAGCGTGCTCTGTGTGAAACTTTGTTATGTCTACATACCATCAGAGTTCAAAAAATTTTTTGGTTAAATATATCTCCACCCTTTTGTGGTCAACATTTTACGCATTCGACCCAAACGGTTTGCTGCATCGTCCATAATGCGTACAGCAAAGGAGTGGAATTTGCCAGCATCTTTTCCATCGGATTATAATATGGGTGTCTTCAAAACAAGAGTGCATCATCACTTACCATCAGGTGACATTAGTTAAGCACTGGCTTAGTTAAAAAACCGAGTAATGCCCTGGTTTACGTTCTTCCAAGGTAATTAAATCACATAAAGTAATAAATAAAATAATTAAGGTTAGACACATGGCTGTATTATCTGATTATTTGTACAGAAACTAATCTTATCTATCTGATTAATATTCAACTGCGAGATGTATAATATATCCTTGACCTTAATCTATTTAATGTCTCAAACTAATAAACCTTGAGCACGACAAATTTTGAATAAAAATGTATACTTAAATTCAATGATTATTAATGGTATACCAATTTAATGTATTGTTCTTTTTCTTTTTCATCACTCCGTAAAAGTCCGCTGGATATAGACTTCTTCCCTTGCACTTGTCCTTGACGACCGCAGTATAAAACGTGAGCAACTTTGACGCTGCCACCCGTCACAAGTTTGGGTATCTTACGCCTGGTGTAAAGAGATGGATGGCCCTGCAACTTTACAAGGCGCAGGTTCGGCCTCACATGGAATACTGTTCCCATCTCTGGGCTGGGGCTCCCCAGTGCCAGCTACTTCCACTTGACCGCATCCAGCGCAGAGCGGCTCGAATCATCGACGACAGTCCTTTCCGATCGGCTCGATTCACTGGCGCTGTGAAGAGATATTGCATTCCTTTGCATTTTCTTTCGCATTTATCACGGGGAGTGCTCTGAGGAATTGTTCGGATTAATCCCAGCTGCCAAATTTCACGAACGCACATCGCGGCAGAACTCCCGATACCATCCACACCATCTGGATGATTGGCGGTCCACCACTGTGCGATTTAGAAGATGTTTTCTTCCTCCCACGACTTCCTTGTGGAATCGATTATCACCAGCGATTTTTCCGGACCGATACGACTTAGGGACCTTCAAGAAAAGAGCTTACTTATTTTTAAAAGGCCGGCAACGTATCTGCAATTCCCCTGGTTCCCCTGGTGTTGCGGTTGTTCATGGGCGGCGGTAGTACCATCAGGTGAGCCTCATGCTCGTTTGCCCCCTCTTCTATAAAAAATTAGAAAAAATATATTGGAAATAATAAGATCATTAATAGAATCGGACGTTACTTTGCGAAAATTTAAATTAAGGAATTTACTTAAATTATAAAAAATATATATATAGATATAAAGTTTATTTATAAAAGTAGATAAGCATGAAATAAAAAAAATGTTTATAACTACTGGTCATTTAGCCCCCTAAATATAACCTTCTTCCATAAAAAGTCATGTGCGTTACAAATAAACACACGTTATACAGATGTACTTACATAATATACCCCAGTATATAGGTACTATTGCAAATTTTCATTCTCTTTTTTTTCATTCCAGGTGCACCAATACTGGCCCCTCGTCGAGATCAAATGCTCGCCCGACCTCAAGTTCTTCCTGTGCTCCGTTTACACGCCGATCTGCATAGAGGACTACTTGAAGCCGCTGCCGGCGTGCCGCAGCGTGTGCGAGCGCGCGCGGGCGGGGTGCGCGCCGCTCATGCAGAAGTACGGCTTCCAGTGGCCCGAGCGGATGGCGTGCGAGAAGCTGCCCAAGATGGGCGAGCCCGACCAGCTGTGCATGGACGAGAACGAGCGCGCGCAGGAGCCCGAGCCGCCGCGGCCGCCGCCCCGGCGCCCGCACAAGCACTGCAAGGATCCAAAAAACTGCGAAAGCGGCGCTGCCGCGGGCGAGCCCGCGGGCGACGAGTGCGCGTGCGCGTGCCGGCCGCCGCTCGTGAGCCTGCGCGCGCGCAACGCCAGCGTCGCCGGCATCGCCGACTGCGCCGCGCCCTGCCGCGGCGCCTTCTTCACGCGCGAGGAGAAGGACTTCGCGGCCGTCTGGATCGCGCTCTGGAGCGGCCTCTGCGCCATCTCCACGCTCATGACGCTCACCACCTTTCTCATCGACTCGCAGCGCTTTAAGTACCCCGAGCGCCCGATCGTCTACCTCTCCGCCTGCTACTTCATGGTCGCGCTCGGCTATCTCGCGAGACTGGTGCTCGGTCACGACGAGATCGCGTGCGACGGCGCGGTTATAAAAACCTCCGCGAACGGACCCAGCGCGTGCACGCTTGTGTTCATCTTGGTATACTTCTTCGGAATGGCGTCGTCTATCTGGTGGGTGGTGTTGTCGTTCGCGTGGTTCCTGGCGGCCGGGCTGAAGTGGGGCAACGAGGCGATCGCCGGCCACGCGCAGTATTACCACTTAGCCGCGTGGCTGGTGCCGGCCGCGAAGACTATAGCGGTGTTGTTAGCGGGCGCCGTGGACGGCGACCCGATCGCGGGCATCTGCTATGTGGGCAACTCGTCACCGGAAAACCTGAAGAAGTACGTGCTCGCGCCGCTGATCGTGTACTTCGCGTTGGGCGCGACCTTCCTGCTCGCCGGGTTCGTGTCGCTGTTCCGCATCCGATCGGTGATCAAGCGGCAGGGTGGGGTGGGCGCCGGCTCGAAGGCGGACAAGCTGGAGAAACTGATGATTCGGATCGGAGTGTTCAGTGTGTTGTACGCGGTGCCGGCGGGCGCAGTGCTGGGCTGCCTGGCGTACGAGGCGGGCGGGCGCGCGGGCTGGCTGCGGCGCGTGGCGTGCGGCGGCGCGGCCGGCGCGGCGCGCTGCGGCCCGCCCGCGCGCCCGCTCTACTCCGCGCTCATGCTCAAGTACTTCATGGCGCTCGCGGTCGGCATCACGTCCGGCGTGTGGATCTGGTCGGGCAAAACGCTGGAGTCGTGGCGGCGCGTGTGGAGGGGCGGGCGCCGGCACCGCGCGCTTCCCAAGGGCGGCGTGTGACCGCCCGCCCCCGGCCCCGGCCCCGCCCAAGCTCCGCCGCCCGCCCTGCCGCCCGCGCCGCCCCCCGCCCCGCCGCACGCCCCACCCGCGCCCTCGCAGCGCTCCGTGCAGCCGCTCTCCGACTACGGCCCGGTCTAGGTGCGGAGCTCACCTGGAGTTTTATATAGCCCTAATCCAAAGTGATTTGGATTGGGTGTTGTGAAAGCCGCCCGACTAAAGTATTTTGTGATGACGTGCACCCGAACTTTAAGTGTTGTGAATGCCACCCGCGTATGCATAATCACAGTACTCTGACTAATAGACTTTAGTGTTGTGTAAGCCCCCGCATACGCGATTCGACAGACCAACTAACCACATTCATCTACCTTCAAAACCGACACTCCGACTACGGTCTAGTCTAGGCGCGGAACTCACCTGGAGCTTTATAGGGTCCCTATACGAAGTGCTTTGTGATGAGTGTTATGAAAGTCACCCGCGTATGCGCAATCACAGTTTCCCAATGAACTTTAGTGTTGTGTAAACCCCCGCATATGCGATCCGACAGACTTAAGTAACTACATTCATCTACCCTCATAACTACAGATCGAACTGTATTTGTATTTACGCTGATTCAACGTTTTTGTTTTGTGATAATGAGTGGCGTTGAATTCACCAAACGTGTACATTCATAGTGCTCCAGGGTAGCAGACGGTCTTCTAAAACAACTCACGTAAACCTAACTATCCTCAATTACTAACCTTTATAAAAACTATACAAATCCATAGTAATGGATAACAAGTGTCATACAGTCCCCATCCGAAGTGCCATCGAACTGTATATATATAGATTGATTCAGTTCTTACTTTGTGGACTTAGAGCCACATACTCAAATGCTCCTCAATTTTAAGATGTCGTTAATTCTCGTGGTGTCAGTCATTTTGACTTTAAGTGATAGAGACAGCACGAAACTTAATGGCATCTTAAAACTGAGCAGCGTTCGAGTATTTCGACATTAATGTGTTGTGGAAGTGGAATGAGTGTCGCGCGTTGTCTAGTCCCTGCGTAATACGAGCGCGCGATGCGGAAAATATACGTAAATAGTTCATAAGTGTAAAGTGTACGGCCGCGGCGTCCGAGCCCGCATCGCTTCTCGGTAGCTCGAAATTAATGTTACTGATTCCCAAATGCAAAACGTGGAAATAATATGTACTACATACTAGAAAAGACAACGCGAACAAAATCTATGCGGCAGTGTGAACGCGTGGAAGGTAGTATAAACCTTAGTACCTTTTTATGACAAAGACTAAGTAAGTTTGAGCCCGTAAGTGCGCGTTCCAAACAACCTAGTTTTGACGTCTCTTCTAGTACATAGTACTTCACGTACTTCAATATTATAAAACACGAATTTCGTGGTATAAATGACATAATATTGTAGTTTTAGAAATCACATGTCTAAAAAATTATTATTTGTTGTAACACATATTACGTAGACTCTGAAATCCTAGTAACAGTAAGATGTAACAGCGCAAAAATGGCGACTTTGTCGAGTGTTTTCACTTAAGTCGTTTTAAATGTCTATGTAAATTTAAACTGATTCCATCTTAACACTGTCACCATTTAAGCGTTCTGAACCGTCTGCAATTCGAAATTCGACTGACTTTTATTGTATATCCCTATTGTAAATATGTTTACAGACAATATTGCCTTAAAAATTCTGCAAAGTTCACATGTTAATAATTGAATGTCTATGTCAAATATCTTATAGCTGTAGGGTTTAGGAATGGAACCACGCGGAATTATACTTAGCATATTTTCACTTAGTCCCTAAGAAACATCTGTATCCTTATAATTTTTATGTCACTTTTAATCTAATTAAAAATTGTGATGAATAAAAAAAATGGGAAATTCTTGCCAAAATTTGTAAACAACCCTTAAAACACGTGTGTCAGTAAGATGTTTTAATTTTATTTTCCTATACGTGATTGCCTTCAATCGAGTTGAGTATTCATTATTTTTATTGTATCAAATTTCAACATTTATTTAATTTTTCAGTCCAATAACAAATTCTTTTGAAGGTGGCGCGTGATAGGCAATTTTTGGATTGATGCAACTCACTGCCATTTTTTATATTTATAACTTACAATAAAATAAATTACTGATATATGTTGAGACAATTCACTTATTTCATCCTCGTAATAGCGTCTTTATTATTTTAATAGCCACCTTTAACATGTAATAATGCGTATTTTGGAACGATTATTTCAATATATTATAGAGCCATCTAGTGCGTTACTTACTAATGTTATAAAATTGTTAATAGATGGCGCTGTGCTAAATTTTGTATACGGCTAACAACTTGACAAGTAGTTGAAACTATGTATTTAGATAAGTATGACCTCTCATGCCTCTTCGTTTTTATAAAAAAAAAAAAAATTAAAAATGGCAGCTCAAATACTTCGCAAATATGTAAATGCCAATTGATTTTAAATTATTTGTATAATATATTAGTCGCTTACGATGTACGACGTGCAATAATGATTTTATTTGTTTGTTTGGACGAGAAGTGGGATGTAACAGTATACACAAGGACTCCGCTGCCGAAATAGAGAAACCATCTTGTAATTTATTTTATATCTTAACTGTAGATAATGAATAAAGCGACTTTTTTATGTACAAATAATGCGTTCATTTTATTTATAAATCTATTTATGTGTACGTCGATAAAACCACATACAGACAAAGTGGCTTTTTATCTATGCTATATCGTTAGAGACAAACAGCAAAGAACAGAAAAATAACACTTATTTTTTTTTAATAACTGGCTTTATGGCTCTGTGTTCTAGGCCTGAAGTTACAATGTATAATCATCCTTCATAGTACACTGCTTCACAATATGTTGATGCGTCACATTATTATTATTACTTCAAACCATTATTTAAACAATAATACAGAAGCAGCAATCCGTCACCGGTCAGGTTCCCGCCAAACCTCCTAACACTTAATACAAGTAAATATAACATAGAGCATCCATACGTAAATTGATCCTGTGGCACAGACTAAGCTTGATTAAAAATCAAAACGCGGCATGCCTTTCCACCCCTGAAGACTTAGATGCAATGGGATGGATTGCAGATTGATTAAAAGTAATTACAAGCATCTTAAATAAACCGTCGCATTTATAATAATGTCCTCCAGACCGAATTTCGGTCACGGCGCCCAGTCTCCACAGAGACCAAACATCTGCGCCCGCGACTGCCTGTCAATCTGTCCTGACAATATCTGCCCAAGTGCATCCACACTCCACAAGCACAGGTGCACTCTCCGTAGTCACGGAGAGACAGCGGCACAGGACCAACGGCTTTACGTGCTTTCTGAGACACGGCGGTGAAACACAGCCAACTTCATGATGCTTAACATTTATTGTAATCTTAAAATCTAATAATACAGGTATTTATGTACCTATTACATAAAACTAAATCCTTATTTGCTAATCTATATTTGTTTTAGTGAGTGCTATATAGTGTGTGTGTGTGTGTGTGTGTGTGTGTGTGTGTGTGTGGTGAACTAAGTTGACACAGACTGAATTCTATAAAGATACGCCAAAAATCAAAAGAATAAGAAGATAGAACTGTGTCGCGCATCGACCTGAGGCTGCTAAGAATGTGAACTATAAGTAAGGGAATATATTTTTTACAGAATGGCCACGTACTATTTAATAGTATATTATTTGAGATGTACCTTTTTTGTTTTTGTTGAAAATACACCATGGGGGATTTTCTTCTTTAACATCCCATAGATGTCGTTAAAGGCGACTTAGAAAAATATCTAGAAGATCTTGTGGTCTCCGATAGATGGCAGTGTATGTACAATACGTACGTCTCGCGACAAGAGGCAACGCAACATTTTTGTTATTGCGAACCCCACAATGCGCCTACCAAGTCTGGCGATTATAGTAAATTCTCCCAGCTGTGGGAGACGTCCCCTGTTTAGCTTTAGCCATAGATGTTTTACGGATTGATGAGAGTGAAAGACACATAATATTTAGGCGTTACCGTAAAATGGAGTGAATAGACACAACTTTCAACTTCTACACTGTTTTATTTACATATTAGGTATATAAGCTGATAATAAAACATTTTAATGTTGCGAGTCTTGTTGTAGTTTATCAAATACTAATGCTTCAAATGAGTAAAAACATGCAAATTCATTGTATTTTAGAAAAAAGTAATCTATTTCTGTATACCGGGAATCTGGGGGTAGACATAGGGGTAAACAGAGAAAAATGCTACGGTTGTTAAATTTGCTTTTGTTGTAGTATGTAGGTTGTGAGTCAAATAAAAAAATATAACTACATCAAAATTGTCATTATAAAAATAATTAGTTAATAAATCTGATATTTAAGTATACAATTACATATTATAGGTATAACTTAAAAATATCAAAGTAATGTAATTTAACTGCTTTGCAGCGTAAGCATTTCCGAAATGAGCGTCTCTGTTAAACAATAAAATACAAATATATGTATTTACCTACATACTAGATAGAACCATGGACGTATAAATAAGTCCTTATTTATACGTCCATGGATAGAACTAATTCATATGAGCACACTAAGTATATTTACTGCAGGAACTTCTATCTGGTTAAATACCAATGATATTATAAAAAATCCTTTATAATATCATTGTTAAATACCTTTAATATGGTTAAAACTTTTTTTTAAATATTAGTTTAATTAGCTACCTACTTTAATTAATTTATCTAGTAAGTAAATGGTGCAAACGTTTTGGACAACCATAAATTTCATGTTTGTATTAACCCCTTTTACGTTTCTAATAACTCCTTATTCGTATCTATTCACCCCTTTCTTCGTTTCTATTAACCCTAAAGGCGTTTTTATTCACCCCTCAGTCGTATCTATTCACCTCAAATTGGAGAAAAAATACCAGTATTATGATTTTATTATTTAAAAAAATAAAATCGTTGATTATCGATATTATTCTTTGTATTAATAATAGATG